GTTCAAAGTGCTGATGTTGCAGCTATGGTTGACTTTACCGCCTTATCGTCGTCACAGATAAATAAAAACGAAGGCATTATTATCAGGAGTACAACATAGAGTATTATCAGGAGAGGAAATGCGCATAGAAGAACGGGTATCATTCTCTCTTGATAGTATCTGAGTACTATCGAAAGACTAAAGTAAACAATTAGCACTTTAAAGCTCAAACAACTGCACTTCAGTTCTTCTGAGATTTCATCAGCTCATAACTGGAAAAGCACCGTGCCACGGAGGCACCCGCCTTGATTATTCACGTATGCCAATGCCTACGTGAACCACAGGTCTCAAACTAGGTTACTATCACGGGCGCACCCAAAATATCAGCTCAAATCTATGCCAATTGCTAGATACAGCCTTACACTCTTCAATCCTAACAAGTTCTATCAGTTGTGCATATTAGTTAGCACCCTGTATCTAGTTGCCAATGGTCTGCAGTCTTCTTTACATTGATAATGCCCTACTTAACCAAACGTGCACTCTTGAAGCGAGTAGATGCAAAGCTGCGTTATCGCGTATTTTCGCAGAAAATGTTATTACGTCGATACAAGTTTACACTGATTCGATTGAACACCAATATACTTTAAATATAAGTTCATCAGATTTTGTTGTTAATACTATTACTGTATTAGAAAATTTGACTTTCGTGACAACTCCCAAATTTCGGATTTATTTTGTGATTAATCATGTGATTAAATGTGATTAATCATTAATTTATCTTGTGAAATTTGTTTCCAATAGAAACCAATATTGATGCAAGCTATGGATACACTTGTTGATCACAATAAGTACAAATCACTTGTTGATGTGCACTATTAAGAAGAAGTCAGGCTTAGGTAATAAACATTGCACGCATCTACTCAACAATGACAGATGCGAAAAACAGCTTTAACGTGATAGCTAAAAAGAAAGACCAGCATAAAATATGCACAACCACACGAGAGGCATGCAACCTGCAAAGGAACGCATCAATGGAATGAAGGAAATCGCGTATCGAACACGTAATGTAGCGAGAAAAAACCTGCAAGGAAAACTTGGCCATTAGTTAATGGAATGTCGCTCATCACACTTTTGTTCTGTGCTTTCTACACCCAGTAAAAAACACCGTCGCTAGCATGTTGTAAGTTTAACAGCACGATAGGAAACTTAGACGTGTGAATGACTTTTACGAAATCGAAAGTTAATACGTGTAATATAAGGGACTGCTACCAATATTGCTGTCAAAATACGAGCAAAATAACTACGTTCATTATGTGGAGAAAAATATTTACAAATGCTAATCTACGTACCTTCATTATACATCAAGAATAAATAAACATATTATATATATATATCAGAAGTAGATAATAGGGAATTCCCTATTATCTACTTCTGATATATATATATATCTAAATATATATATATTATCTAAGTAACTTAGAGACAGATTTATTCTGTCCAAAAATTATTGCTTCCTAGTCTGAGGTGACTACCTATATACCTGTCACAAACATGATACTGTAAATATGCACAGATTACACAGATATGAATGTCTGCGACAAGTTTACGTCTTTACTTACGAGTCCTAACATCAATCAATTACATTGAACTCTCCCTCAATCATAGCACAGTACTTGAACTGGGAGTAATCTTATCTACTACACTATCTATCTTGCGCGCTATTTGTTGATGAAAACATGATAAATATTTTATAATCTGTATGACTGATGTCCAGAGCTCACGATAGAACGCTTGCCACATTTGACGCAGGTCCGTGAAAAAATTGGATTGTACTACTAGTTATTCTAAGACAGGCGATCATGCACTGGCTCCAACATCATAGCACACACTGACAATCAGGAGCTAGGAGAAATTGAGTGCAATTGCCTGCTCACGCATTCACAATATGCATCGGTAACACATTGCATGGCGCTGACGGTGCAACACAGGTGTAATATCCACAACCCACCCACGTTGTAAGGCCACACACCCTTCTTTGCTGACTAAAGATCTGACCGCATGAATGCGATGTATTGACATTGTGATTTAAATATCTGTATAATAATTGGACACCTGGATTCCTACCTTCTACACTGCATGTATTACTGGCTGTAGTCCTCACTAATAAAAACTCCTAAAATTA